AGCTCAGCTCACTCACACGCCCCAGCTTTGGGTGTTGCCCAGCTCCTGTACCCAGTTATTTAACCTGGGACTCATCCAGGGGTTGCCGTGAACACGTGCTGTTGGTGTGATTGGCGTGTATGACCGGCTCACTTTCACTAAGGACTTCTGTAACACCTGTGGGCCTCGGTCCACCACTGAAAGGCCTTAGCAGTGAGACAGATTTCTCCAGGAAAGGGGGGATTCTGCAGGTGCTCCGGCAGGAGGACGCAAAGCGTGGTCCACGTGCTGTCGCATCCTCAGTCAGGTCGCTCGGGCTGGTCACTCTGGGGGAGACCAAGGAACAACAGAGGCCACGGGGCGCTCGGAGCCCAGCCCTGGAACCAGCACACCGTCAGCACTTCCTCTTTCTCTTCTTGACCAAGGTCACACACTCGAGGGTGAGCGCCTACTGCACACAAGAAAAAGAAGGCAAAACGTCTTGGAGGCCCTGGGTCCATGAACACGTACAGACTGTTTTATTTTAGTAATAAATCTGACTTCCCATTCTACAAGCCCCACACAAAAGCGCGAGAGCCAGGCCTGCGGCTCCGTAATGCCTTATGGTTGATGTTGAGCCATTTTATTTCCACTCTACAGAGAACCGAAAGCGGGAACTTAAGCGCCGAGTAACTCTCCTCGGTCAGCCTCGAGCCAGTTGCGACTTCGTGGCCAGCGTTAACTTTAGATGCGAAGAAAGCAGAGTGGGAAGTTCCCCTCTTCCTGTAAACCCCCAGCCACACAGAGCCCTTCTGAAGAGTGGCAGGCGTTTGATGAATGACCACAAGATCGAAGTGTTTCTCCCCAAATTTTCTAGCAAAAAGTGGAATCAGCACATATTTGAGAGGGTGAAAGAGAAACTTGCAAGAAAACATCGAGATATCGTTTACATTTTTTATTAGGGACACCAACATTTCAATGGATACATAAAAGAAGAAAAATGCCCTTTTTCTCAGAGAACCAGCTCTGTAAAGCCCGGTGGGAAGCGGCTCGTATATAGAACCTGCAGTCCAGCCCGGCAGGAGGAAGGTGAGCCCAGGGCCCACCCTTTCCTCCCCACTCACTGGGTGATACAGGCAGCTGCGAAGCAGCCGGCCCCTCACTGTCCCTCACCGCATGCGAAGGGGAAATGCCACAGACTACATTCTGGGTGTTGCTGAGAGACACACCGCTTCCGGGACATTCTTTGTTTTTCCCAAACTGCCCATTACTTAAACCAAAAACAGGCTTTAAAAAGAGAACTGTAAACACTAAAAACATTTCCCAACCACCAGTCTCCTCGCTTCTGACAAAACGGAGCTGTGTTTCTAGTTTTCCACGTTTGCCTGCCAGCCTGGCACGGTGGCGCAGGCCTGTAACCCCAGCACTCGGGAGGCTGAGGCAGGAGGATCCTTGCGAGTCTGAGACCAGCCTGGGCTACAAAGTGAGCTCAAGGCCAGCCTGAACTGCATAGCGAGACCCTGTCTCAAAAAGACAAAAAAGATAAAAAAAATAAAATAAAATTCAGTCATTCAAGGACTTTGGAGTGAAGTGACCAGACTTGCACATCGGAAGATTGCAGTGACGGGCACTGTGATGCCAAAGGAACACACAGCAGTCACTCGGCGATCAGCCACTCTCCTGCAAGGACAGCTGCTCTGCAGACGCAGCTGTGGGCAGCACGGGCGCACACAGAGACCACGCGGTGGACGCGGGCAGCTCGCAGCTCCGGCTGAACTTCGGAGAGAGCGGGAGAAGCCCGAGCAGATCCGTGGCCCGGACCCGCCGTTTCCCTAAACGCCATTGACCCCGCGCTGAGGTTCGGAGCGCGCCCCTTCCGCAGGACCCTGGGCTTCTCGCCAGCCAGTACCGAGCCCTGCGGAGCCCGCGGGGCTGAGCGGCCTCAAGATGCGGCCGCCGCTGTCCCGGTGTTGCCGCATCCCCGCGGGTGCAGCTTGCTCCGCACTGCCGAGCTGTAAACGGTGGAGGCTGTTACGTGGAGGCTGCCTGTCTGTCTGTCTGTACTATCTTGTCGCTCCGGAGGTTTAGTAGCCCCCATCGTGGCCTGCTGTGGAAAGTCACCGGGGTCTCTTGCTCCCTGCCGAGCCGGAGATTTAGGTGCCACGCCGAAAGGAGGTGTGTGACCCAGCGGTGGCCCACGGCTCCCGGGGTGGAGTGGGGGGACGAGGCACGGGGTTTCCCAAGGGACGCGCCCTGAAGATAAGGCCCCAAGCACCGGCCGTAAAGCCCCTCCGGCGTGGCAGGATGAGCTTCCGAATGAGTGCCTTTTCTGCACAGCGCACGGAGCACTGGAAAAGAAGCAAGGTTCACTGTCTGACTGACTGACTGACTGACTGATTGATTTGGGTTTTGGAGATAGGGGCTCACTATGCATTTCATGCTGAACTCACTAGATAGCTCATGTTGGCCTTGAACTCATGGTGATCTTCCTGCCTCAGCCTCCCAAGTGCTGGGATTACAAGAGTGTACAATCATCCCGGTTTAGTACAAGATTTAGGGGCTGCTTGACATCTTTTTTTTTCCAAAACTGAAAGAATGTGTGTGTGTGTGTGTGTGTGTGTGTGTGTGTGTGTGTGTGTGTGCTGGTGTAAGGTTAATTTTATTTACAAAAGATTCACGTGGACACCATGAGATGTATTGATTGTCACTGGAAAATAATTCCCTGCAGTCAGACGTCCCACTTGCCTGGCTTTCCTGTCAGCTTATTCCTAGCAGCTCATGACAGCGGCTTTGCCCCCAAAACCTGTTTACTGTCAGCAATGTCATGGAAATAAAGACAGGGCTCCTGGTCAAAGCGACTGGGCAAACAGGAGACTATAACTGAGAGCAGTGGATAGCAAGGGGCCAAACGGAGGTCCCACAGGCCTTTCCCTGGCGTGGTGCCCTGGTCCAGCTTGACCTCTCTCTCACTCCCAAGACGTGACACCACACAAGAAAGATCCAATGCGGCATAGCTGTCGGGTGGGTGTGATCTGATATCCTAACAGTAATATTCAAAAGTGAGGGGGATACTATAGGAACCTGAAAGAGTAAATAAAATCTGGAAGGTATAATAGATACTGTGGAAGGGAAAAGACACTGTTCAAATAGGAAGGAGCAACTAGGGTGAAGGAGGGGAGAGGAAAATGAAAGAAGAGGGAAAAAATATGTTTATGTATACACAGGACAGCCAGGATGATTGTACTACTAATATCTGTTGGTTTATTGAAAGGAACTGTTAATGTGTAATTGTTTAATCAGGCTTGCATGCCTAAATCTGGCTATATGTGCAACCATTTTGAAGATGATATTAAGTAATATAACAACCACTGTTAATATCTTATCACCATGTTTTGAACTTCTGTATCATTTTAATTACTCTCTATGCTGTTTGGTTTATGTATTTGTCTTTGTTATTTTGGTTTTTTCAAATGAAAAAAATTTATATGTCTATATAAGGATAGCGGGAATAGGTGTATGGCTGATGTCTGTGGTTTATTGAAAGGAACAGTCAGTGCTTAAAATTTTCTTTTTTCTTGACCAATGCTGCACGCTTGAATTTGGTAATCAGCACAACGGATCTGAAAACAATATGCAGTATGAGAACCATTGTTGAACTCCTACCATCTTGTATGGTGAAGCTCTGCATCATTTCCAATATTGGTTTTTTGGGGGGTTGGGGGTTTTTCTGGTTTTGTTTGTTCTGTTTTGTTTTTTACTTGTTATTGTCTTTGATTGTTTGATCAATCTTACATTCTTATATCTGGTGGACTGAGCAACTTCTCTGAAGCTAACAGTATATAATGTAGCAACCATTGTAAATTCCTATCATTTTGTTTTGAGGTCATGTATCTTTTTTTTGTTAAAATAAAAAAAAAATTTAAAGTGAGGGAGAAGCTGGGTGTGGTGGTTCATATCTGCATCCCAGCACTCAGGAGGCTGAGGCAGGAGAATCGCTGTAAGTTCCAGGCCAGCCTGGGGTACATGGTGAGACCCTGTCTCCAAAGCCCAATTTAAAAAAAAGTGAGGGACAGGACTCAGCGATTTCCTTTTAGCATTACCTGCATATATTCAATAGCTGTGTGATAGGGACCGTCTGCAGCAATGAATACATTTGCTGGAGATACAGCTGCAGCAAAAGGCTTAACATGATTGTGAAAAAGGAACTGTCCAATAGGAAAACAAGAAGAAAAAGTAAAGGCCCCAGTTCAGTTCCCCAGTACTGCTAAATAAATAAATGTTTTTTTTTAAAAAAGCCAACTATGGTATCAAGCATACAATGGAATACTATGTGACCAAGAACATTTTTTCCTGGGCACATTCTACATTGATCTAAAAAGTTCTTCAGAATATATCAAGTGAAAAGGCAAGTGGAAGAACAGTATATTACAGTGTTACATCCTGAACACATACACGTGTGTGATAAAAGCATTCTACTTTTGCATAAGAAATGGCTGTTGTACGGATCTACAGACCTGGGTGGTTGGACGTCATCTTTTGTGTACCTGGAAACTTCTTACATGGTTCCCCATGAAGGCTGAGGGATCCAAAGGTAGATGGAGACAGAGGCAGAAATAAAATCCACCAAAATGCCTTTTAATAATTTTTTAACGAATTTTCCCTAAATTCCATGGGCTACTCCATCAGGAAATTGGAACATCTAGTTAAAAATCTGATAAAGCACCTGTGACCACACCTAGCCACTTACTGTATTATAACTGTATTAATTATTACTATATTAATTATTACTTTACTAATTACAAAAATCATGGATTCCAGGGACGGAGGGAGGACTCAGGCTTCAATCTGCACTGGGTGTGAGCTTCAGCAGCTTAACTTGTAGAATTCTGCCTCTTCATCTGTAAAACGTTTTCCCTCATGGACTCATTCAGCAGTTCGTCCCTCACAGAGCTAGTTGAAGCCTAAGCGCATGCGTTAATGTTGGCAGGGAGCTTAAACAGTACCGTCAGTGCTACGGTCTAATGCTGTGACTTCTCTCGCAGAATGACGGCCCGGTGAACGTGTTTGCAGAGAACACCGAGGGAGGTGAGTTCCTCTGCTGGTCAGACCAGGGAGGCTGTTGCAGGGGCCTTGGGCATGGCTCCTTTATGACACACCCACTAAAAGACAATAAAACACCAACAGTGTGTGGTCTTCCTTTGGCCAGGAATAAGATTAGGAGTAGAATTTGATGGGTCTCTTCTCTCTGGGTCCAGGGAAAAAACCAAGGGCTTTGTCACCAAAAGATGCATTTCTTAGTGTCCTGGGAACATGACTCTCAATGTGCTTGGAGAACAGCAGATGTGGTATTCAGAGATGTCTGGGGAGTGCTTTACTTTCCATCGTTGTTGGGAGATTCACATAACCCTAACAAGGCAAGGCCCCCACAAGTCCTCCAATAAAGAGAGCTGTCTGGCCTTAATTCAACATTCTTCAAACTGAATTAGAACACTAAACTCCTTCTTCCCATATGATAGCTATCATTCAGCTGGGTACTTTTGGGCCCCATCCAACACCACCAACACTGGAGTGCCTTGTAGTTTTTGTCAGAAGTCTCACAAAAATAAAAATCTACTCGCAGCTAGCTAGGCCTGAAAATGAAAGTAGATAAAATGATATGAATTTAGGACTGGTCAGAGAAGAAAAGGTTCGTGTTGGCCCTAGAAAAAATACCTCTAACATTTCCACTTTGTAAAACAGGTTGTTATCATTACGGTTCACGGAACTCTGTTTATAGTATTGACCGTGAACATGGGAAGATTGTAGTTAAGCTCTTCAAACAACCCCGGCTCTAACCCTGCATCGATACATGGGCATGAGGTGGTAGATAAGGTGTCATCTGATGGTAATGACAACGGCAGCATATGACAGTCATAGTCACCAAGTGACATCATGACGATTCATGGAAAGGCACATAAACATGGGCCGTAACTTCCCTGTCACCTAGGAAAGTGCAAATAGCTCCGTCTCAACAGGACGTGGAGTGATTGATTGTTTAATACAGCTTCCTTTTTCCTGCTTATAAACTCAACACACACTGTGGACTTTTTTGAGATGGAACATACAAGCCATGTAAAACCTTACGACCTATAAATAATCATGAGTAACATTCCAGTATATTTCACTTCAGGGTATTGCTATCTACCTAGTTTTACAATTGAGAATACATGCACATGCAAATGTCTCCAATACTGTGTATATATCATAACATAATTATGCTCCCATGTCACTAACAGTGCTGTAAAGCAATCTGTAATGGTGACACTGATGAATGTACCATCATTAACTAAAAATTAACTATTTTAAAAAACTGAAATAGAACATAATCAGACCAAAATATATACACTGCCTCCCTAAAAAAATCTGGGGCCAGGGATGCAGCTCAGTAGCACAGCACCTCCCTGGCAAGTACAAGGTCCTGAGTTCGAGTCCCAACACCAAAAAAATAAAATACAAAATACGTACACACACACAGTGATCAACATGGCCACTTCCAGACGGCAGATAGAGCCAGAGCTGCTCAGCCCTGTGAGACGCCACTGCATCCCACACGCTGGGGACACTACTGGGTCTGTTTTTAATGGAAAACTCCAGACCACGTGAGATTTTTCCACTCACCATCAGCTACTCCGTAAAGAGGCAAGCACAGGCCCACACCTCCAGCACCCCACAAAACTGGCCCTTTTTCTCATTTCTCAATGCATTCCTGCAAATGTGTAGCATTTTGTGTGTAAAAGCACTGCTCCCAGCAGTCTGGGAAGCTGAGGCAGAAGGGTTGCAAGTTCAAGCCCAGCCTGGGCCGCTAAACAACTTAGCATGACCTTGCCTCAAAAGAAGAAAAGAAAAGGAAATTTAAAAGGCTGGGGAAATGTAGCACATGTTCCTGGGTTCAATTCCCGGTACTACTTCCCCCAAAAATTCCAGTACAAAAGAAGTCCTATAACTGTCAGAATAATGATCTTATGCATCGACATAAATATGAAGCATAAACCACAGTCCTATTTTGGTTTTGGTTTTCGCCCCCACACACTGGAGAGACCTTTCTGGAAGCCTTGTAGTTCTCTATGGAACCCTCCTGCCTCAGCGCCACCCAAACCCAGCACTCACAGATCCTGGGCCGAGCTGCCCCGAAAACTAGCCAGGGTGAGGACGGAATCAGACCCAGGGAGACCACTGGCCTTCACCACCCCAGGCGCTGCAGATGGTCCTGGCGTGGGAGCAGCCTGCAGGGCTTGTCCGACCCCTCTCCGCAGCCTGCACGGGGACCCAATGTCTCTGCCACCCACTAACCCTGTCCCCGGGCCTGAGCCTGCCCTGGTTTCACTTGATACTACTGAGACTCACATGTACTTGCCATTTCTCTGCAAATCGACTCATCACTGTTGCTCAAATACGTTTATATCTTGACTGAAGTGGAAAAGAGCATTATTTGTTGTAAACAGGCTCTATTTCGTCAAAACTTTGCCTTTTAGACGTTCTACTTACACATTAACTCTTCTGTCTTAAAAAGGAGATTAGCAAAAGTGAAAGACACCAAACTAAGACACTTAGGAACACTTAGAAAGAAGTTTTAAAATTGGCCTGCGTTGTGATTCATACGCCTTAATGACATCACTTTTAGCAGGTAACACTGTAGCACGTGTTAAAATGGAACTACATTGCCTCTGTCTGGGAATAGGGCTAGAACAGTCACCAGCGCCTACTAACGGTAGCCTTTACCCTGTTTGCTCAAGTTCAGGCTTCTCACTGAACAAAACTGAGACTGGACTTCTCAAACCATGAGTAAAATCAGGACGTCAATGCGGTATTTTTTTTAACCAATAAATTATTCTTATCTTAAAGGTCTCGTGGAAGATCTGAGGAAATGTAAAATTATCTTCATGATGGGTGAGTCACAGCTTTCAAACTTTCTAATACGGTTTGTGTCCGTAACAGCTTAGCAGCTGGAAAAGGCCCTTTGCTTCTTGCCCTGTTTTGAAGTTACGCTGCATTTTATTTTTGGGCTTTGTTTGGTCAAAATAATACCCTCAAGGTTTCCAGATTTTCACCTGCACTTAATGCAGTTCTGTACTGTTTTTGGTCTTGGATCTTTTCAGCAGGACTCCTTGTGTGGCCCAATTCACGTCCAGGAACCCCAAAATCATGGGTATTTAAACCAAAAGGTGTTAGCGATCCCTGAGCAGAACGTCAGTGAACTCAAGCCCGTTGGGGAGTCAGGAAGGCCAGCCGGGGATATCATAGTAAAGTGTAGTACCAAGTGTAGCTCTATAATAACAAAGTGCAGCAGGGGATATAGCTCAGTGGCACAGTGCCTACCTGGCAAGCTCAAGGTCCTGAGTTGATTCCCGGTACCAAAAAAAAAAAAAAAAACAGTAACAAAGCCCATGACACAGGTAGGAGGCGGTTGTGTGTTAAAGACTAACACACACCTTCCCTGCTTGGATGCCGGCCCCCTCCGGCCTGAACGCAGCGTGTCCGTGACCACACACTCACACAGCCCTGCAGAGCTGCGCTTTGCAGCCCGCGCCACTGACGGTACCTCAGCCTCACCCGGCCGGGGTGTAGCTCAGCGCTGGCTGCCTGAGGCAAGGCCAAGGCCCCGCTCGACCCCAGACCCGCTGCGGGTGGAAGAGGGAACCCCGTTCGTTCTGTGCCACAGTATGAGAAACCCATTCACTGCCGCTTCCTGAGCTCCTGCAGGCTCCGGTTTACCTTGCGGTTTTATAGCGCGCGTTTGCAATGCATAAGTTACAGTTACGTTCCCCGCAGGGAGTCACAGCATGCACATAGCACGGCTCAGTTTTCTTTCCTTCCCCTTCCCCGTTTCTCCCCGCGCCTTTGGTCCCCTTCCCTACTGCGAATGGTCTATCTCTCTGCTTCCTCTTACCTTATTTTGTTCTTTATTTATACTCTAAGCGAAACTATGTGATGTGTAAGCTTTGCGTCTGATTTACTTCACTTAACATGATGGTCTCAAGATGCATCCATTTTCCTACAAATGACTCAGAGACATCCTTCTTTATGGCAGAGTAGTACTCCATTGTGTATAAATGCTGTGTTTTCTGTATCCCTTTGCCTGTTGGTGGAATACAGGCTGCTTTCAAGATTCACTGTTAGGTTTGCGCTGCTGTAAACATGGGTGTGCGCAGATCACTGTAACACGATGTCGTTACAGGTCACCTGATTTAATCCTAGTTATATTACGGAGACTCGGGCAGCTTCAAGCACTTACCCGTGATCACGTAGCTAACGAGTGTGAAAGCAGATGTCCAGTTTTCCCCATGAAAGTGAGCGGAGATCCTTGTGCAGCTCCGTCAAGTGTCAGGGAGGAGCTGGTGTAACTCCCGCCCATCATTCGGGTATATTTTTAAAACCTGCGCCTTCCGGTACGTTTCCAGACGGAGTCTGTTTGTACCGGGAAATAAGGAAAAGGTCTGCACCTGTTCGGAGAGTGGGCCAAGAAAGACGGTCAGCAGCGCTGAGAGGCAAGCAGGTCGGCTGGGGGTCCCGCGTGCAAACGGGGCATCGGGGCCCTGCGCCACCCTCCTCGTCAGAAGCGGAGGCTCAGCTCAGCCTCAGGCGCGGAGCTGCCGGCAGTGGGGCAGTGCAGGGCTCCTGGGCTGCAGGTGGTGAACGCCCGGCAGCCTGGAAAGTGCCTCCCTGCACCAGGCCATCCGAGGAGGGGGCCTCGGGGGGTCCCCAGAGCCGGTGACCCTCAGTGGAGCTGGGCGGGGAGCATAGGTTGCACTGGATGGACTCCTCCCACGCTTACTGTGCATTTTTTTTTCAGAAAGTAAAACATATTTCTTACAAAAGTAAAACATATTTCTTTACGTTCTTCCTCTGACGAGGAATACAGCATGATCATTCTTTTAAAAATCAGCAGCACTTGTAGATTACTAAAAATTCCCTTTCCCATGTAAATTATAATAATCTGTTTGCCTGGCATGCAGACTGTACACCACGTATTGTATTTTCTGTTCAGCTTTTATATTAGACACCCAACTAGAAAAAGGACAGCTCCTCTAAGCTTGTAGAAATTCAAAGTGCGAACCCTCTAGCATGGAGAGAACGCTGCGGTTTTTAACAATGTACTGACCGTGGCCGGCCGGCTGTGTGGCAGCTGTCAGTGCTCCAGCAGGGGTACTGTTTCCGAGGTGGATTTGGAGATGCATTCTCAGATGTGCAGTCCGGCTGTCTACACAGAAGCAAGGATCTCAGATCACCTGTTCTGCAATTCTGGGGTCTTTACAAAGTCAAAGAGAGCAACAGTAAATCTTGGGCCTTACATGGAATTTAAGATTCCCACACTCTGAGAATCGTCGCTGTGAGGAAAAAGTCTTTCTTATATCCAACCCAACTGTCCTGAATTTCAACTTACAGTCCAGTCACTACTCTGGTTATATTTAAAGCAAAAGAAGCCAGGTGTGGTGGTGCATGCCTGTAATCCCAGCACTGGGGAGGCTGAGGCAGGAGGATCCTTGTCAGTTGGTTGTACTAGTTTACGTTCCGCCCACCATGTAGCAGAGCTGCTTTTCTCCCTGAAGCCTGCCAGTATTTGTTATTAGTTGACTTCTTGATGATAGTAATTCTTCCTGGAGTAAAATGAGATCTCAGTGTTTTGATTTGGTACCAGGTACCAGGGATCGAACTCACGACCTCGTGCTTGCCGGCAGGCCCTGTGCCGCTGAGCTAAATCCCCAGCCCCCAATTTGCATTTCTCTAGTGGCTGGCAATACTGAACCCTCTCTCACGTGTCTATTGGCCGTCTGTACTTCTTCATCCGAGAGGCGTCTGTTCGTTGCAGTGACTCATTTTCTGATTCAGCTTTTTATTTTGAGGGGCTCTCAGTTTTTGAGTTCTTTCTACATTCTAGATATCAGCCCTCAGTCCGAGCAGTCGCCAGCAAACATTTTTTTCACGCTCTCTGGGCCAGGGATGTAGCTCAGTGGCATAAGCGCCTGCCTGGCAAGCACAAGGTCCTGAGTTCGATTCCCGGTAGGTAAAAAAAAATGCTTGATGCGTTCTGTAGGTTGTCTCTTCACTCTGTTAGCTCATCCCTCCTCTGCGCAGAAGCTTTTTAACTTGACACCACCCAGTGTGTGTCACCGCTACTCTTCACACAGCATGAAGACTCCTGGCGCCCCTCCCCTCCCGTGTGGAAGTGTCAAGAGGACCAGCGCGGCGGCCCCGCCCTCAGACCCCCGCGGCCACACTTCCGGTCACACCCTACCGCGGGCCGCTGGCTGCATCCACCACGCGTCCTCTGAGCGCCCGGCCCTGACCTCATCCTGCCCGCGGCCAGCAGAAGACCTGGCCGCCTGAGCCGCCTCCCGCAAGGCCAGCCTTGCTCCCACGGGTCTGCGTGGCTCAGAGGATGCCCTAGAATGACGAAAGGATAATGCATTTGTTGAAATAACGAATCTTTTAGGAAGCAGTGTGGCCTGTCTCCATAACAACCGAGACAGCAATCAACGGCAGCCGGAATTCCCAGCCCGGCGCTGCAGGCAGGGCTGGAGCCGCCAAGGCCGCGGGCCGATGGCGGTTAAGGATGCGCCGACCCGAGGCCACCTTCCCCACCCTGTCCCTAACATGCGTATTTCTTCCATGCCTTCGGCTGGACAGCGTGTGAACGGCGTCTTTAATCCGGACCGAGCAGCTCAGCGTTTATGGAGAAACACCCTTCAAAGGACAGAGATCCCCAGGGCGGAGCCGGGTGGCCACAGGTAGCAGAAAGGGCGCTGTGAGCTCCGGTTGTTCCCGCAGGAAAGGTGACAACCTGCGCCGGGGAGCAAGCCTGGGACTCGCTTGTTGCTGAAATCGGAGAATATTTGGAAAATGTAGAAAGATACCTTAAGAAGCCGAGTGTGATGGCGCACACCTGTCAGCCCAGCACTTGGGAGGCTGAGGCAGGAGGATCGCCAAGAGTTTGAGGCCAGCCCAGACTACAGAGAGAAACCTTGTCTCAAAAAAAAAAGAATATATATTCTTTAAAGAAACTCACTGTGTGCCACTAAGAGTTGCCCGCGTCTTCACAAGCTTTTCTGCCTCCTTCCTCCACTACCCTCCCCGATCTCTCTGGGCTTCTTGTTCTCTTCTCGGTTTTCGCTGGCTTCCGACACCCCAGGTGCGCCCTAACCTCAGTGTCCACGCGTCCCTACCCAGAGCCACATCACCGCTGGGAGTGGGGCCGGCACCGTGCGAGGGACACACGGCCTGGTGACTGGCCCCGGGGCCGCGACGGCTGCTTCTGCGTAGTGAGCTTAGCGCTCCCCGGGCAGCACGCTGCGTTATTCCAGGCGCGCGAGCCCCCGCACAAACAGCCTGACGTGTTTTCCCGGAGAAACGGGAATTCGCGCTTAAAACTCAGCCTTCGGGCGCCGTCGTCCTTTCCCGGCAGCCTCACTGTCGCCTCCCTGCGGAGCCCCCGTAAGAGACATCGGGGTTGGCGTTCGCAGGTTTCTCCCTGGAGCGCTCCATGAGCGCTGTCCGCTGCCTCACGTGTTTGCTTAAATTAATTCTAAAGAACCCAGGGGCGCTCGCTCAGCGAAGCGCGAAGCCGGCGGCCGGGAAGGCGCGCTCTCCGGGTCAGCGCCGCCCTCTGAGTTTCGTCGCTTGCTGAGAAGCGGCACATTCGGCGCTTGAAACGTTTTGACATTGCCAAGCAGTGCTGTCGGCTGTTTTTTCTTGAGGCGACCGGCTTCATTTATCTTCAAGAACATCTCTGCCCGAAAAATTTCTGCCAGATACTCATCATCATCATCATAATAACTTGTGCAATAGATGATCTTTCAGAAAGTCGAAATGGTGTCCCATTTAAAATGCAACCTGGTCAGCGCTCAGAGAGTCGCACAAGATCGTTCCCCCAGAAGCTCGAGTTTGCTTGTTTGGCTGGTTGGTTGGTTTTTGGTTTTTGAAACAGGGTCTCAGTGTGTAGTTGATGCTGGCCTTGAACTCTCTGTGTAGCCCAGGCTGTCCTTGAATTTATAGTGATCCTCCTGCCTCAGCCTCCCAAGTGCTGGAATTACAGGCCTGCGCCACCACGCCCAGTTCTCAAGGTGTTCTTAAGTAATGTTATTGCCCCTCCCTTCCCTCCGTCCTTCCCTCCCTCCCTGCTTCCTTCCTTCCTTCTTCCTTCCCTCCTTCCTTCCTCCCCTTTTTCTCTTTCCCGGCAGGGTCGTCACGGGGACACGCGCTAGTGCAGTCGGAGCCCGTGTTGTATTCACCAGTGTTAGAATCACTGCTCCAGCCGCTCGCGCAAAGCCAGTGAGCTCTCCTACCGGGGTGAACGCGGGCGCCCGTCTGCGGGGTACACCGAGGGACCCCCGGGGCCGCCGCGCGGTGTCGAGCAGAGCTGGGTGTGGGCTGAAGGGGGCCCCACGCTGAGCGCTGGCGTCCGCGGCAGAGCCCGGGGCTGCGCCCTCCTTCGTCCCTGCGGGGAGCGCGCCATGCATCTGCGCGGCTGTCCGTCCGTCTGTCCGTCCATCCCTCGGTCTCGGGAAGCCGGGCCTCGGCTGCGCTGCGCGGTGGAGCCGGGGCGTGTCGAGGCCACATCCCGGTCAGCCGAGTGTCTTGTGGGCTTCGGAAGGGAAGGGCAGGGGCAGGGGCGTTCCCCCACAGAAAGCGAGGCAGGAGCAGTTCCCAGCCGCGAGGTTGGGGAAAATGCAGTGAAAATTGCCTGCTGGAAGCGGGCATGGTGGTGCACGCCTGTGATCACAGCACTCAGGAGGCTGAGGCAGGCGGATCGCTGCCAGTTCGAGGCCAGCCTGGGCTACAGCGCAAGACCCGGTCTCCAAAGAAGAAAGAACGAGGGCCCCACACTGCCGGAAGCCACTGTGCTACAAGAGACCTTTTGGGTTTTGTTTCGGTTTTTTGTACTGAATGAAACAGGAACAAGCCAATGACTCGGGAAACAGAGACCATTTTGGCCTTTAAAATATCACATGTGCGGGGCTGGGGATTTAGCTCAGCGGCAAAAGCGCCTGCCTGGCAAGCGCAAGGTCGTGAGTTCGGTTCCGGTACCGGAGAAAAACCAAAAAAAAAAAAAAAAAAATCACATGTGCAAAGTGTCCTCCTCCCATTTTGCTTTAAAAAGTCTCAGTCTTTTCCATTGCAAATAAAACACATTTAAGCCCAGCATGGCGGTACACGCGTGTGATCCCCGCACTGCCGGAGGCTGAGGCAGGAGGGCCGAAAGTTTGAGCCCAACCTGGGCAATTTAGCAGATTAGTGAGATCCTGTCTCTCAGTAAAAATAAGTAAATGAAAGGCTGGGGACATAACCCTGGGAGAAGGGCCTGGATTCAATCCCCAGGACTGCAGAAATAAAACTGAAGCCGTCTAAACCAACCCCTGGGTTCTCTTGTGCGGGAGCTGGCTCTTCAGCTGCACCGCGACTGCGGTACGGCAGCCCGGTGGGGCGCCGAGCCTGGAGATGTCCCCACGGCCGCCTTCGTCACAGTCCGGGCCTGCGTGTCCCCGCCCTGCTGTCCGAGCCCTGGCCTGGTGCCTGGGGAGCCTTCGAGGACGTGAAACCCCAGGCCTGGCGGCAGTGGGGGGACAGACCCAGCGCCACCCGGGGCCCTAACGTCTCCCACGGCCTCGCCCCACCCAAGGCCGCGGAAAGACGGGCACAAGGCCGGCCGAGCGCGGGGCCAGCCCGACACCCCGATCCTCAGAGACTGCGGCCACCCGGAGGGGCCTGGGACAGCAGGCAGTTTCCGGCAAATCCAGATGTGTATTTGGCAGTCACTCCAGCCAACAGGACCATTTCTCCTCTTTTTTGGTTTTCCAAAGTATCTAAATCTTCTAAGGACCATGTATTTTTTTCACAGTGAGGAGAAAATAATTTCTTTAAAAGAAAAATAACTCTAGCACTGGGGAAGCTGAGGCAGGAAGACTGCCCTGGAATACATAGCAAAATCCTGTCTCAAAAAAGAAAAAAAGGCCGGGCATGGTGGCTCACGCCTGTAATCCCAGCAATCGGGAGAGGCTGAGGCAGGAGGATCCTTGTGAGTTCCAGGCCAGCCTAGGCTACAAAGTGAGCTCAAGGCCAGCCTGAACTGCACAGTGAGACCCTGTCTCAAAAAAGGCAAAAAAAAATTAAATCTACCAGCATAAAACAGACCTTCATGAGCTACAAGGCCAGAGGCCTGGTGGACCAGAAAAGTGGATCTGGAGGCTGTGCGGTGATTTCTCAGACGCGTTTGGTCTCCACACCGCATGGTGGGCACGAATAGTCCCCAGCGCCGCGACCCCCGGCTTGACCGGGAGGAGCCGCCGCCCTGTGCGGGCAGGGAGAGGAAGCCCGCGGTGCTGGGACAGCGCCGGCTCGGGGTTCTGCTCGGGGACACGGAGCGTCAGCGCCGCCTCACTGGGACTTCGGGCCAGTCCCGTCCTCGGCGGCCAGTCCCGTCCTCGGCGACCGGCCCCCGAGTTGGACGGGGCCAGCGGCAGTGGCGGCGCAGCCCGTCCCTTCTCCAGCAGACAGCCCCCACCCCTCGGCCCCGTCCCCCAGAGAACAAAGCTCCTGCAGCCGCTCCTGGCCACGCCCCCCACCTCACGGGAAGCTGAAGCAGGACGCGCTGGGTGGCCATGGCCATGGCCCGGCTGGGGGTCGCACCCAGGGCGCAGTCAGCTACCAGCCTTTCTCTGAAAGTGACCGGGCAGTCACAGGGACCTGGAGCCAGCCTTGGGACCCGTTTCGTTTAGGAGGAAGAATATTTCAGGGGGCAGAAATAGGCTCGCTAGGTAGCCTGGGCTGGTCTTGAACTCACTGTGCAGTTCAGGCTGGCCTGGAACTCCAACTGGTCCTCCTGCCTCAGCCTCCCAGGTACGGGGATCGCAGGCGCGCGCCTCTACAGTCACTTGCGCCCTGGTCCTGCCGAGCCGGGGGGAATCCAGGAGCTGGGTGCTACTCGCAGTTGCTTAGTCCTGGTCTGCCGGTCTGCAGGCCGCTGCTGAGTCCCCCCCGCATCCCCTACTCCAGGCAGGCCTGCACTCTGATTCCTCTCCCCGTCCTCCCGCCACCTCTAGATTCTTTAGGTTTTCATGGAAGAGAAGCTCTGCGCTATGTAGGTGTCTTCCCGAGAGGTCTCAGGACAGCGTGTTCCAGCGTGGGGCCCACGCACACCCGGGTTCACAGAGGCACAACGGGGCAGCGGCCTGCACAGCCGTGGCCAGCACACTGCGGAGCACTACGCTGCCATGAAGAAGGACACACTCAAGGCATTTGTGGGGAAATGGCTGCACCTTGACACCATAACATTAAACGTTAAATAAACCGGACACACAGGCGCCATCTGTGAGGGAAACCTGGTGGGGGTGACCACGTGATCATGCCCAGGTCTGCAGCTCGGGCACGGCAGAGAAAGCCAGGCGCCCAAGAACATACTGCTTCCCTCTGCCGGCCCGGCTGTGAGCATCGCCGCACTGCACCATTGCCCTCACGTGGAAGATGTTAAACACACACCTGAGCAAGCGTGGGGGCACACTCCTGTCATCCCCGCACTCAGGAGGCTGAGGCAGGAGGATCTCTGCGAGCTCAAGGCCAGCCTGGGCTACACAGCGAGACCCTGTCTTGAAGAACAAAACAAAACAATTGCATTTACGGTTGAGGATAAACATTAACTCCCTTTCCCCCAAAGTAGTAACAGGCTGCTTCCAAGTGCAGTGGGGTGCACGGCTGAGTCAGCCTGGCCGCGGTGACAAGCGTGTGACAGCCTCTCGCGGCCGCCTGTCGGTCCGCTGTTCCCTAAGGCTGTGCGGCGCCCTCCGGCCGTGTGTTTTATTTTTATTTGAGTCCCAGGTCCAGAGCCCTGAAGTCAGGGAGGTCCCGGCCCCGGAGCCCGCGTCTCCGCTTTCCCCGGCCGGGGAGAAGGCGGGGTGAGCGGAGGCCGCGCTGCCTCGGCTTCAGAAGCCAAGCCAGGGGACACCCCAGCCCCGAGCGCGGCCCGGCCGTCCCGGCAAGAGCGCTTCTAGGGCAGCTGAGGCGGCGCTCTGTCATCTGCCGTGTTCGCAGTCCTGCCCCGCCCGCCGCACACCTGGCGGAGCACAGCTGGACGGCCGCACAGCTGGACGGCGGAGGCAGCAGGCGCGCCGCGGTTCCTCTGCGGAGGCCTCCGCGGATCCGGCCCGGGCTGCGAGACCCGAGCCCAAGTGGGGGGCAGAGGTGCCAGGGCAGGGTCAGAGGGGACACACCGGGACACGGGAGCGTGCGCCGTGCGGTCGATGAAGCGAGGAGGGGCCCGGGAAAGGCAACCACCAGGGCTCCGCCCCACCCGCACCCCGGCCTCCGAGGCCGCCGTTCTTTGGGGGAGGGGCTGGGTTTTGAGGCAAGGTCTCGCTGCATAGCCCAGGCTGGCCTTGAACTCCGGGATCCTCCTGCCTCAGCCTCCCCAGTGTTTTGGTCACAGCCACCACGCGCGGCTGTACCCACCCAGTGTTATGGTCAGAACCACCTGGCCCCTCCGGGGATACTTCACTCTTTAGGAGCAGCACCCGCCCCTCTGTGGCCCAGGGGACGCGGCTGACCGACCTCTCCTCCAGGTGGCCCGGGCTCCGGCAAAGGCGCGCAGTGCGAGAGGCTGGCGGCCAAGTACGGCCTGGCGCACCTGTCGCCCGGGCGGCTGCTGCGGGCCGAGCTGGCGGCGAACTCGGAGCGAAGCCGGCGGATCCGGGCCCGCGTGGAGCGCGGCGAGCAGGCGCCCCCGGTGAGCCAGGGCCCCGCCGGGACTGGGGACGGGCGCCAGGGCCAGCCTCTGGCTTCTCTTTATTGTTTCATTTTATTTTATTTTTTGGCTTTTTGAGACAGGATCTTGCTATACAGCCCAGGCTGTCCTCAAACTCAGAGCGATCCTCCTGCCTGAGCCTCCCCAAAATGGCGATTCCGGCTGTCTTTCTGCACACCACTCCTACCACTCCTGCTTCTTCATGAGGACTATCTCATGGTTATGGAGGCCACTTGGCCTGGCTGTGCCCCCCTGCCACGCCCTGCCAAAAGTCAGAGGGCCAGGGAATTCCTGCGATCCCAGCACTCAGGAGGCTGAGGCAGGAGGAGCTCCCCGGGTTGAGGGCCTGCCTGGGCCACATGGGCACGGGCCATCGCCATCTACTCAGTCCTTCTGTCCCTGGGGGGTGACCCTGCTGTCCACGCTCTGCTGACCGCTGTCTCTGCTGCAGGCCGTCATCTTGGAGCTGCTGCAGGAGGCCATGGCCGCCAGGCTTGGCGACACGCACGGCTTCCTGATCTCCGGCTTTCCGGGGGGGCTAAAGCAAGGGGAGGAGTTCAGCCGCCAGGTGAGGAAGGGCGCCCGGGCTCGGGTTTGAGGTCCGGCGCGGCGTGGGTCCCCTCACACCGCACCCATCACATCTCAGACTAGAGACAAGATGGCAGAGGCGGGAGGGTCTCCTCCAGTTTGAGGCCAGGGCGAGGGCAGGGCCGCTGATGTGAGGACTGAAACCCGGGAAGGTGCCGGCCTGGTCCGCCCACGCTCAGATCCGCCCGGCCCCTCTCCGCCGTCTCACTGACTTCTCCGGCGGTGGCCTCAGTTTCCCCCTGTCGGATGTAGATCCTGCCATCTGAGGGACCTCGCATAAATGTGTTTCTGTTCCCCGGTGGGTCCAGCAAGGACCCAGGGTGCTGTCATTTTCCGGTTCCAGTCACCGTCTGTTCACTGTGTCAGGGAGCTGGTCAGCCCAGCGCGCTGGGAGGCTGAGGCAGGAGGAGCACGCTTAGGGAGACCTTGTCCCTAAATAAATAAAGAAAAAGATGTTGCTTCAAGTGAAGTCCCCAGTGGAAGCCCCAGGGGGGGAATGGGGTTGTTGATTGACCCAACCTGGGGTACCACAGCAGGGACAGGAAGGGGCGGGGCATCACACACCCTGAGAGATGCCAGGAGGAAGACGTGCCCGCAGCACCCGGCTTTCATTTCATGCTTTTAAAAGTAACCTTTTAATCCAGCCCTTAGCTAATAGATTTGGGGGTCAGCGCCGAGCACGGGTAGGGATACCGCCAGCCCCGTGGCCCTGGTTCCGGGCACCTGTGCACACCTTGATTTTTCTTGGGGTGTCAAACTTTAGCTAATACGAGGTTAATGTTTCCCTTAAAATTACTGAAGTGTGCTGGGCACACGCCTGTCATCTCAGCGCTTGGGAGGCTGAGGCAGGTGGGTTGATGTGAGTTCTAGGCCAGCCTGAACTGCACTGGGAGACCCTGTCAAAAAATTAAAAAGGGGCGGGGGGCAGCCGGGAACTTAGCTCAGTGGCACAGCGCCTGCCTGGCAAGCGTGAGGTCCCGAGTTTGATTCCTGATCCCCCCAAAATAAAAAATTAAAACATAGCTGAATGTCGTGGTGCACATCTGTAATCCCAGCACTCTTGCAAGCTGAGGACAGAGGGTCGCAACTCAGAGCCCAAGCTGGACAGTTTAGCAATTTCATGAGAGCGTGTTTCTAAATAGGATTTTTGCTTGCTTGTTTTTATAGTTTGAGACAGGGCCTCACTATGTAGCCCAGGCTGGCCACGGACTCTGGCGCTCCTCCTGCCTCAGCCTCCCGAGCGCTCCTCGCCCGGCTTCTAAATAAGACTTGGGAGGGGCGGGGGCTGGGCTCTCAGCGAAGGACTACGTGGCCGCGGCGCTGCCTGCGGAAGGCGCCTGGGCTGAGCGCGCCCTCTGCTGGCCGGCGTGGGTCACTGCTGACGAGCGCGGCGCACACCCGGCGGCCTGGCGCGGCTCCCGCGGGATCGGATCTCCGGTCTTTCGCAGGAGCGATGAGCTCAGCTCCTCCTGCAACTCCTGCTGCCGTGGCCCAAGCGTGCGTCGCGCCTGGTTGCTGTCAGCCGGCAGGCACCTTCGGGGGCGACAAGGACACGGCGGGGTCCCTAGCCCAGGCCTCCTTGCAGCCAGGGCTGGGCAGGCAGCCGGGGCACAGTTAGATTGTCCCAGACTCAAAAAGAGACAAAAAGACAGTTCAAGGAAGGACAGTATCGACGTGGTGTGCACGCCTGTAACCCCAGCACTCAGGAGGCTGAGGCGGGAGGGTTGCTGTGAGTTCAAGGCCAGCCTGAACTACCTAGCAAGCCACTGTCTCAAAAGAGGAAAGAACTAGGGCCCAGGCCTTCCCGGGACATCAGCAGTGTAGACCCTCTGGGCTTGTCCTGCCCTGTCCCCTCCCAGGTCGGGGACCCGCACTTGGTCATCTGCATGGACTGCTCGGCGGACACCATGACCAGCCGCCTTCTCCAGAGGAGCCCAGGCAACGCGGCCCCAGAGGACGCCGCCAAGACGGTGGCCAAGCGCCTGGAGACCTACTACCGGGCCTGCCTGCCGGTCCTGGCCCACTACGAGGGCACGACGCAGCTGAGAAAGGTGAGCCGCGGCCCTGGGCGCCGAGGCCACGGTGCAGGGGCCTGGGGGTCAGAGCTGCGGAACTGGGGTGCCAAGCTCGAGCCCAGCCTGGGCAACCTAGTGAGATCTGGTGTCAAAATAAGCAATTTTTTAAAATTTTTATTTTATGGAAAAAACAGAACAAAATTTCATAACAAAATAGTAGGAGAATAACCATAGTTAGTACATTACATGTTGTTATCTTTAAAGTAGTTGCTCAGGGTACAAGACATGGGCATAAAAAATTCTCTAATCAATATTAGCACAAACCTTCCTTTTCAGTGAGCTAGGAGACACTAATAGTATACTGACTTGCATTTTTCCCTTTTCCCTTCCATCCTTTCCCTTTTCACCCACCCTAGTTCCTTTTTCCTTTTGAACAGTTTCTTCCCATTTCACAATATCTATTGTACATTTTAGATCATATTTACTCTTTCAGTGTCTCACACCAGGGAGACAATCCAATGTTTACAAACATGAGTCTGATTTATTTCACTTATGAGTATGGTCTCTAGGTGCATCCATTTACCTATAAAAGAAGGATAAGCCTCAAACTCATTCCTCTTTATGGCTGAGTAGTACTCCATTGTATAAAAAGACCATATCTTTTTTACCCATTCCTCTGCTGATGGGTAGATGGATTGTTTCCAAGATCTAGCTATGATAAATTGTGCTGTTATAAACACGGGTGCACATACATCGCTGTGGTATGATGTTTTTAATTCTTCTGGGGAAATACCTAGAAGGGGAATAGCTAGGTTGAATGGGACCTCTAATCCTAGTTTACTGAGGAATCTCCACACTGATTTCCACAGTGGTTGCACCAGTCTGCACTCCCACCAGCAGTGGAGAAGAGTTCCTTTCTTCCCACAGCCCCTCCAGCATGTTATTGGTTGGTTTCTTGATGACGGCCATCCTTTCTGGGGTGAGATGGAACCCAGTGTTGTTTTGATTTGCATCTCTCAAGTGACCGATGACATGTTTTCCTGTATTTATTTGCCGTTTTTTATTTCTTCATCTGAGAAGTGTGTATTCACCTCAGATGCCCATTTTTTGATTGGGTCTTTGGATTTGGGGGCCTGATTTTTTTCAGTTCTTTATATGTTCTGGATAAAAGTCCATTGGTGATTTCTTTTGATGTGCAAAAGCATCAAAATAAATAATTTTTTTTAAATGGTGGGGATATAGCTCAGCTTGAAAGCCCTGGCTTCCTTCCCCAGTGCTGACAGAAAACAATTAAAAAGTTGAGCATATACTCATATGTTTCAGGGCGCCATTGTACTTGGAAAAACTACTTTTTCCAAAAAAAAGAGAGAAAGGGAGGAAAAATAAAGTAGCCTGTGCCCGAGACTCTCAGGAACCCCTAGATCTGGGCCGGACAGAACCATCCCCAGGCCTCTTCTAGGTCTGAGATTTGGTGCCTTTGAATTCCGGAGGTTGGCGCATTCACCATTGGCACTTGGCCCTTTTGCCAATTTTTTTCTTGATTTTTTTTTTGAGAAAGGGTCACACTATACAGTTTAGTAACTGGCCTTAAAATCACTACATTGCCCAGCCTGGCCTCAAACTCACAGCGATCTTCCTGCCTCAGCCTCCCAAGTGCTGGGACAACAGGCATGCGCCACTGTGCCAGGCTTGGAGGTCAGTTTTTCTGAATTCGTGTCATGTCAGAGTCGAGTCTGGGACCTGCACCCCGGACGGGGCGGGTTGCAGGTCTGCTACTCTGTCACAGACTTCGGAGCGGGTCAGCGAGCGCAGTGAGGCCCAGGGGGCGGAGCTTGAGGCCCGCACTCAGGACAGCAGAGCGCGCACGGAGAACTACGTAGCAAGGCTCTGTCTCAGGAAGAGCTCCGTTTTCCTTGCACCCTTTTTACCTATTTCTCCTACGCTGGCTCGTTATTATTAGCACATTTTTTAAAGTTTCTCCATTTCACCCAGACATTGTGTCTGGCTGCAGAGCCGGCATTATGTTGATTTTCCCCCATACTGAGGACGGCACCTAAGGCCCCAGGCATGCTCATCTGTTTCTCAGATACCAACTCCCAACTGTTTTGTTCATTTATTTATTTCTTATTTTGAGACAGGGTCTGGCAAAGTTACCCAGGATGGCCTGGAGTCCTCCTGCCTCAGCCCCCTGAGTAGCTGGGATTACAGGCATGTGCCACCGTGCCTAGCTGACACATTTTTGTTTTTTTGACCAGGGTCTCACTATGTAGCCCAGGCTGGCCTTGAACTCTTGGCAATCCTCCTGCCTCAGCCTCCTGAGCGCTGGGATTACAGGTGTGCACCACCACACCCGAACTCCCACTTGGGCTATTTTTAAGTACTACCGTTCCTTACTTTTCTTTAGAAACACCAAGTTCTTAAATTTCTGTACCAGCACAGTGTGGCAGAAATATAATGTGAACCTCATAAGCACGGGAGTTTGAAATTTTCTAGTAGCCACACTGACAAGACACGAAACCCAATTGGTGGTGGTTTTACCGAGTGTCTGAAATGTCTGAGCAGACCCTCTCTGGTGCTCGGGGGCACACAAGGCACACAGCCTTGGATTGCAGAGTACAGTTTGGTACTTACAGCTTTACTCTGATATTTTTATTTTGCTGTCTGCCTTTAGGAAAAGTACCAAATCTGTCTTCAGCATCACCCATCCGTCCAGCTCTCTAGCCCCCAGTCCTGATTTAATTCTCTCCTTTGGATATTTTGCTCTATTACCTGAGCTTGTTCCTTCCATCTCATGCTGTTTTTTTTTTTTTTTTTTCAGCCCAAGTCTGCTCTCCTTTTGTGACGTTCTGTTCTTACTTCATGCGAACCTCATCCTCTCCCCTGTTAACGACAGCAAAGGAAGCATCCATTGCTCCTCCTGGGTTTCAGTAGACCCTGTTTCTGTCTTGTATCCATCACTTCTGTCATAATTACATCTTTATACTCTACATTTACTGATAGAAAGTAAACTCTGCGGGAAGAATTATGCCTGTCTCATTCACTGTTGGCAGGTAGGATAGCACACACCGGTAATCCCAGCACCCTGGGAGGCTGAGGCAGGAAGATCATGAGTTTGAGCCCAGCCTGGGCACCTTAGTGAATTAGTGAGACCCTGATTCAAAATTTTTAAAAATAAGGTAAAATGAAAAGGGTTGGGGATATAGCTCAGTGTGAAGGCCGTGGGTTCGATCCCCAGTACTGCAAATAAATAATAAATAAACCAACCGCCACCATCTGCCACTCTGGGCTGGCGCAGCCTCAGTGGCCGAGGATGATTCGGAAGACTCACGGCCACCTGGCATGGCTTCAGGTCCCCAAGGTAGAGCCCAGGGACAGTGGCGTGGAGCATGTAGCCGAGGCCTGAGGGACAAGGTGGGACCTTCACACAGCCCCTCCCAGCCCAGGGCCCTGTGGCATTGCTTCTGCCATCTTTTACTGGTGACAAGCAATTCACAGAAGGCAGCCCAACCTAAGGGGAGATTTCCGCCATCTCCTTTGTTCATTATTTGGTTTTCTGAGACCGGGTCTCACTGTGGAGCTCAGGCTGACCTCGAACAATCCTCCTGCCTCAGCCTCCCGAATGCTGGGATTACGCATGGGTGGCACAACACCCAGCTGTACTCTGATGGGTGAGTAGGAAGGCCACCTGCGGGAGGACAGGTGAGACAGGAATCTTTGGAGACGGTCTCCCACCCCATGGGACAGTTGGGGAGTGGCTCGTGGTGGCTCCCGCCTTGTGCCTCCAATCCTGGGCACCCGGCCAGGAGCTCGGATCTGCCCTAGAGGGCAGGGCGGGTGCACAGCTGCTCCTGCTGCCTGTGGCCGGTGACATCGCTCAGGGACAGGGTCCCGCGTCATCCCAGGCTCTCGTGTCCACGGGGCTTCTGCGTGGGCCCGGGGGCTGGGTGTCCACGAGCGGAGCCCTTGAGCTCCAGAGGCCAGGGTGGGACTCCGAGGACAGCGCTCGGACAGTGGCTCTTTCCGTGAGGAAGGGAAGAGGGCGAGGGGAGGTGCAAACAGAAAAATCAGTTTTATTGCTTCATTTTCTGGCGCCCACCACCTGCCTAGAGCCAGGCCCTGAGGACAGGCGCTGAGCAGTGACCTCGTCCTCACCTCTTCCTGTCTCCATGGACACTGACAAGGGTCGTCTGCTTGACCAAACTCCAGTCAGTGTTGGGTTTCTATGCAAATATCCTCAGAGCCCTGGGGCTCCTGGGCAGGGCTTGTGGACGGTGATTGGCCCGTGACTCATTAGGGGGCGGGGCCTTGTGGAGGGGCGGGGCCTTGTGGAGGGGCGGGGCCTGGAAGGGTTTATCTCCCTACCAGCTGCTCCCTTGTCTCTCTGTTTCCGGTGCGCCGTGCGGTGAGCACCTCTGCTCCGCCAGGCCTGTCTGCCGTGCTGGCCTCCCTGGAGCCGGCCGGCTGTGCACCAAAACTTGAGCCAAAATAAACTCCTCCTCCTTCAAGGGGAGAGTACTGGGTATTTTATTTTGTCCCTGCTACAAGAAACAAGCGAAAACAGGCTCTGGAGCCTCCTCCCAGGCCTGTGCCCTTGCTGATAAAAGCGGGGGTCAGCAAAGAGGGCGGCTAAGTCAGCATAACCGGTTCTTCACCTCCCTTCGCCGGCTGGTGCTCAGCAAGCACTGCTGAGATCCAGCCGTCCAGGCCTGACCACAGTCCTGCCCTGGTGTCCCTGCCTCATCTGCCCGCCCACCAGGGTCCGAGTCGGATGCACCAAGGTTGAAGGGCAGAGGCTCTGATGCCCGCCGCACTTTCCTGACGTCACTGGGTGACTCGGGGTCAGGCTGACCTGGGGCCCCCCGCCACCCACAGGGCCCTGGCAGCGCTGTGCCCAGCGCTGTGCGCGAGGAGACAAACCCGGGCCGCTCCTCGCGGCTCCAGCTCCCGCCTCTGCACCCCAAGCCCGGCCCTGTCCCCACCGTGTCCCCGGACAGCCGCAGGTGTCATCCCCAGCGCCAGCCGCCCCGAGACGGCTGCCACTGCTCGGCTGAGCGGGGCCCTGGCTGCGGTCCGCGTCTCTACGCCTTACAGCGGCTCCGCGTGCACAAAAGCGAGCCTGAAATGGCGCTCCCGCCCCGCGGGCACCGAACCCCCAGCCTCCCAAGCACCGCCATCCCCTCGGGCAGGACCGCCGCTGCGCGCTCGGTGGACGCGGGGCCGTTTGCGGATCGGCGCCCGGGAACTGCCCCAGCTCCGCCCTTGCACCGCCCTGCTTCTTCGACAACCCGGACTTTTTCTTCTTTTCCTGTGGGTGCATTTTAGACAGGCGCGGTGAGCACTCCTCGGAGAGTTTACGGCTGGACACGGGCTCCTTCTCCCGGCGCCTCCCGCCCTCCCGTCAGCCCCTCCCTCCTCATCTGCAAAAGCCGGGTTTCCATTTGTTCCTTCTTGCCTCTTTTCTCCTCGCCTTTCGCCCTCCCCTCTCCCCACTTCCCCTTCCCATTTGAACATTTTCTTCCCATCTCCCCCTTTGGTCCTTATTTACCCTTTCGGTTTCTCTTGCCGGGGAAACGGTGCAGTATTTACACGTGTGTCCAGTTTCACTTAAGGCTATGGTCTCGTCCATTTAGCTAGGAAATGTCTCAAGCTTATCCCTTTTTAATTTTTTTTTTTTTAATTTGGGGAGTTTTTTTAGACAGAGTCTCACTATGTACCCCAGGCTGGCCTCGAACTTGTGACGATCACCCTGCCTTGTCCTCTCAAGTGCTGGGATTACAGGCATGCACTACCACACCTGTTTTTATTTTTTCGAGTTTAACCTTCTTTATGGCTGAGTAGTACTCCAGTGTGTTAAAAATACATCTTCTTTATCCATTCACCAGTTGATAGGCATTTGGGCTGTTTCCAAGATTTAGCTATTACAAACTGCCACTGTGCATATACTGCTGTGGTATGATGCTTTTAATTCTTTCAGGAGCATACCCAGAAGGGGAATAGCTGGATCACATAGCACAGTGGTTGCACCAGTCTACACTCCCACCAGCAGTGAAGAAGGGTTCCTTTTCCCCCCCAGTCTCTCCAGCATAGGTTGTTGGTTGATTTCTTGGTGATAGCCATTCTCTCTGGGGTGAGATGGAGTCTCAGTGTTAATTTGTATCTCTCGAATGACCAGTGATGTTGAACATTTTCTCATGTATTTATTTGCTGTTTGCATTTCTTCACCTGAGAAGTGTGTATTCATTTCAGGTGCCCATTTTTGGATTGGGTCTTTAAATTTGGGGGGGTGTCTGATGTTTTTTAATTCTTTATATATTCTAAGTAGTAGTCCTTTGTCTGAGGAACAGCTGGCAAAACTCCCCCACACACTGTGGGTTGTCTCTTCGCTCTTGGTGGTTTCTCTTGCTGTGCACAAGCTTTCTGATGAGATCCCGGTTGTTGGTTCCTTGTGATATTTCCTGTGTGATCGGGGTTTTGTTCATAGTGTTTGCTTACACCAATGTCTTTAAGAGTTCTACCTATTCTATGTTCCAGCAGATTCAGTGTTTCTGTTTGAATATTTAGACCTCTGACCGATTTTGATTTCAGTTTAGTGCATGGTGAAAGATATGGGTCTAGTTTTAATCTTCAGCATGACAACCGCTGACGTTTGCACTGTTCCCATTATTTCTGACTGTGCCAGAATGTCCTAGCTGGAACTACGGAGTATGTCCCCTTTTCGGATTGGCTTCCGTCCCTTAGTAATTGCACTCGTTTCCTCTGGGGCTCTTCATGGCTTGATGGCTTCTCTCCAGCACTGAGTACTATTCCAAATAATGTGAATACTTACGTGGACTAGTTTATTCAAATACTGAAAGACATCTCAGTGGCTTTCCCACCTTGTCAACTATGAATAAAGCTGCTCTGAACATCCATCCAGAAGTTTTAAAGTAGCCATCGGATTTCAGCTCCTTTCGGCCAATACCGACTGCTGGGTAGGATTTTAAGAATGTGCGGTGAATCCCTTCATGGCTGTTACCATTTTTATTTTTATTTTTTGCTTGCTTGTTTTTTTTTTTTGAGACAGGGTCTCAGTTATGTGGCCCAGGCTAGCCTCAAACTCACAAGATCTTCCTGCCTCAGTTTCCTGAATGCTGGGATTACAGGCGTGTGCCACCACACCCGGCTTGCAGCTGTACCATTTTCATTCCTGCCAGCAATGAAGAAGCATCTGGTTGCTCCACACCGTCCCCGGCGCTTGGTGTGCCAGGATTCTGGCTTGTGCCGCTTCTGATGAATGTGCAGTGAGCACTTGTGTAATTTAGGCACCTAGTTTTTAAACCATTACTCTTCCCTTTACTCCCTGTTCTTTGGAGGAGTGTTTTTAAATTTTGCTGAGCAAAAGCAGGTAGGCTTGCTTTATTATTTGAAAAGACCATACTTACAAACACATCTTAAAACTAACTTCCAGTGCATGGCTGTGACCCCAGCACTAGGGAGGCTGAAACAGGAGGATTGCCATGACTTCAAAGCCAGCCTGGGCTACATAGTGAGTTCAACACCAGGTTGAACTGCACAGGGAAACTGTCTCAAAAAACAAAACAGAACAAAATTAACTCTCCCCATTTTTCTCTTACATACAGATAAACGCTGAGGGAACTCCAGAAGAGGTTTTTCTTCAACTCTGCAAGGCTATTGACTCTGTTTTCTGAAGGCGAGAAAGCATGGATGCAGAGGAGCGGAGAGAGAGGAGCGCACTCACTGGTCCATCCCTTGACACCATCTGTGTCCTGCGTCCCCCAAATCCCACCGGCACTGTCTGCTCCCCCCGGGCTTGTGCGGGAGGTGTCTGGGGCCATGCATGGTGCAGTAGGGGTGTCAGCCCCATCCTCAGGCAGCGATGGCTGTCCTCGCCCCAGTACGCACGCTTTTTTGTTGTGACCCAGTAGCGTGGTGCCGTGACAGCTGCGCCCCAGTTCTTGCTTGGAGTCTGGTCATCCGGTTTAGTCTCATCAAAAGGGGGCCAGCACCCCCAGCCCATCACACCCCTCTTCTCCTCCCAGGATTCCCTGGGGACCCGTGCCCGCCCACTATGGCTGGAGCCCCGGGGTCCCACAGGGCCATCAGGTCAGCCTCGTGTGGAAGAAACTAAAATGGGAAACTGCACAGCTACGCCAACATGGCAAGACCTGGGCTGGTCACCCGTCACTTCCTGCACTTAGGGAACTGGCTCCTGGGAATGCTGTCTTGTGAATGGCTGGGAGAGCTGGAGCAATTGTGTGCCGTAGTCTCCTCTCTACCTGGTCCTGCGTTTCAGCAGTTATAAATTACGTCAGTGACCTAGAGTAATTCGAAGCATGGATGATTTGTTATTTCATTCACTGGACAAGGGCCACCTTATCGTTTTGGTTTTCAGTGTCCACCCACTCGCCCAGCGGGTGAGCAGAGGCAGTGACGAGCAGCTGCGGGGGGAGGGGCATGTCAGCAAGCAGGTGTTTTGCAGATACCAGTGTTGTATTCATCTCACCCGGGCCCCCCAGGGGCTTGCAAACCTTGTAGCACACCGGTGAGGTCTGGCTCTTTTGTACTCAGTTGTGAAATCAGAGCTTCTGTGTCCTGTGGAAATAACTGCACCGCTCTCTTGGCCACTACAGAAGACCGTGGTTTCGGTTTGCATGGTTTTTCCTTCCATCATTGTGCAAATACGGATCCATTTCCAGGACAGAATTGTATTTTTAAAGTCTTTTTTTTTTTTCTTGAAATGGGTATGTACAAATAAAATAAATGGAAGCCAGGAGAACTCTTTCTCTATTTATTTGTAACTCACAGCATTCTGGAAAGCATTTGAAGCTTTATTCAAAACAGAAATCAGAAGCAAACACAGTACTAGTTGAGAGTTATGATCCATTAATATGGTTTTAATTTTGGCCACAACCAGACTTGAACTGTTACAGAGAATTCTTAATGTGTTCAGGATACATGGTCATTTTTCTACTTTACTTTTTCTTTCGCATTCGTTCTTAAAACAGAAATGCCAGTGTTCCCTAGAGGAGAAATTACATTTCTTTGGTTACAGTGATGCCTCTGTGAGCGCGGAGGACGCACACAGGCCATTCGCGGACCTCACACGGCCGCCAAAAGCTCGCACTCGCTCAGCGGCTGAGCGAAGGAGAAACGCGAGCGGTGCCGGAGCAAACTGTCAGCCGTGCCGGGAACACGGCGCGGCTCCTCAGGGCCTGACAGTCCCCAGTCACCGCCGGGTCCGGCCCGATGGGAGGCGAGGGCGATGGAGTGGCCGGGCCGAGCCGTGCGGCAGAGCCTCCGTGACCGGCAAAGGGCACAGCGTCTTGCCCAGGACACCAACACACACGTTACCGACTGGAGCGGCCTGAAATGATACTGACCTTAAAGTGACAGGAGCGTGCATAAGAAAGGACCTCTGCCTGGCAAAAGGCCGCGTGTGTATGTGCAAGAGCCCACAACAAACCAAATGGCGTCACACAGCACCAGTCCCCTGCGCCCTGTCGTCCGGCCCAGGCTGCACCGCTGTAGCCACTTTGCCTCAGAACCAGGTCTTGCCGTGGGTCCCTCTCTCCTCTAACCGAACCAAGTGACCCTGTGGTCAGGGCTTTCTCTGATTATTCCTCTAAAATGATGGCGTCTGCCCATTACTTTTCTTCAAGTACTCTTTTTCCTCAGAGCGTTTCTCTCTGCCTCAAATTAAGCAATGGGTTAAAAAGTGACTTGCTCCCTGCCTGCCTGCTCCACTGGTCTGTGGGCTCCCGCGGGCGCCGCTCTGCTGCGCCCGGCACGGACACAGCTGCTACCGAGCGCTCACAGGCCCCTCTGTACCCTGCTTCTCCTTCCCGCGGGCGCCCCCACGGGTCCCGAACGTGGCAGGACTTGTGGCGACGGGACAAGCTAGCAGTGCGGGGAGAGCCCCTGCCGCTTCCCAGAGCTCAGTGGAAGGTGGCCGTCACCCCTAAGGAATGCTTCACTCCTGCAACCGTGACCCGGGCTCGCACCTCCACTCCAGAGTCCTTGCCACTACGTCACTAAAATCGAGACACACGGCCTGGCTCAGGTCCCACACCGGACTAAAACCTTCAGCTGCCCCGGGGTGACCCGTCCTCCGCGAGAGGGGAGGACACAACTTCCTGGAAAGGGGTCTCCCGGCCAGCCCTCCATGCTTCACACAGGCGCAGGCGCTGTCCCCCAGCCCCAGAGGAAATCAGAACTCTACACGCTGGTCATGGAGCATCCCTGGAAAGCCAGGCCCAGCCATGGACGTCCTGGTCCTGGTCTTGGTCTTGACACAGCTAAATGTGACAGAGTCTCGGTTACAAACACTGAGCGGGGAGGGGGGAGTTCGGGCTTTTACTGGGATCCTGTGAAGAGCAGTACATTTTTCAAGGTAAATAAAAACGTTACAGCCCCAAAAGGACAACACCTTCATAATCTTGTGGGGAAACCCACTTGGAACCTGGAGACCCCGTTTCATCCAGGCGATCCAGGAGAACGGATTTTAAACTCAGTTACCCACAGTAAGCAGTAGTTTATGGACGCCACACTTACATTTACAACTGCAACCGAGATTTCACACAACAGGCATCTTACTACAGGTACTATTTTCTCTACCTCGTGTTTAAAAAATGTTCCATGCACCTCAGAGAATGTGTTCTGCGGTTTAACTGGAACCAGGGCAGGAGGAGAGGAGGACGGGCGAGGCGAACAGGCAGGCTCGGGGAGAAGGGCAGAAGCCAGCGTCCGCGGATCCACCAGCGCCTCCGTCTCTCCATCCCGCGCGGCCACCAGGACAGGCGCACGCTTGCGCTGCACCGCGGGGGCTTCCGGCGGCTGGCTGCGACCAGGTGCAGGTCGTGCTTCACCTCGGCACTAGGGTGCGGCCCCGGGAAGCTCTTCAGCCGCTCTCTGGCTGCCTCTCCTCGCAGGAGAGCAAGGTAGAAAGTGGAACCGCCTCAGCGAGCTGCGGAGTTTGGGTTCGTTACTGTCTGCTCGCCTGGCACACAGCAAGCACGCTCGTCAGTGTCGGCATGAAGAGTGCACCTCAGCGAAGGAGACCTCCCGCCTGGACCCCCGGCGGTCCCAGGGGCCGTCAGGGGTCTCTTCGGTTACTAGCAAGTGCACTGAGCACGGCGCACAGACACACGATCTGACCTGCGGAAAGCACTTAATAAGCAGCGCCTTCACAAGCCCGTCTCTCGCGCCCTGCGGTCTCTTCAAGCCCACTCCTGGCTGTCCACAGACGGAGGCCTGCTGGCAAGTGACAGCCCGCGCCACGCCTGCCACTGAAAACAACCCAATGTCACTGCTGCCGCCGCGACCCTGTACGGCCTTCTCGTGCCATGGAGACTATTTGCCTGGGGCTGGAAAGTTCTAAACAAACACATCTTCTGTTCCAGCAAAAAATAACCCTCTTTGCCACCTACAAGTCTTAACATATTTGCTCTTGAAAAATGCGCTCAAGTGGGTTTATTGTGTCTCTTCTGTTTATAACACTTGTATCGCTCACAGGCCTCTTCCGAAGCATACTTCATACTTCTATGGGATTCCCCAACAGCTCTGAATGGTTCTCCAAAATCTAACTGGTACTATTTCTATACAAACCCAGAAGTAACGGAAGTTACCAGCAAATGCTACTATCCTGCCTAGTGACAGGCAGAAGGCAGGTCTTGCGACATATGCACCTAATATTTAGTATCAAAATAGCTAGAATGCTACAATTCCTCTCTCCTCCCACTAAAATTCCAGGGAGAGAGGTCCTCTTACTCTTCCTTCCGATTATGATATACTGCATCAACATCTTTAGTGCTCTTTAATCAATATATTACTTTAAAATTCTCATATTTCTATATTTAAAATGCGATTAGTTTCTTAATTTAAAAAAGGCAAGGCAGACGTTAGTGCCTTGTTATGTGTTGAAGAGAACTAGTTAAGTAATGTTCCCTAGATTTAAAAACAGGAAAAAACAAGCAACTCTAAAAACTGGGTCAGGTATAATACAGTACCTAATCCATCTTAGAATATTAATACCCTCTTATCCTGGTCAATAATAACTTCCAGGAGACCACTTGTTTAAATACATGGGGACTTATTTTCATCAAAAACTAGAATAGAAGTCTCCAACTTAGGCTTTCACATGTGGGCCTTCTTCCCTAACCAGGGTCTCGGCTTCCCCCCGGAAGCCGGTCTGACTTTGCTCCAGCACAGGCCCTGGAGGACACTGCCTGCCATCGCTCACAGATCTTCTCAGACTCACTCTCTTCTCCATGATGTACTCTTAACTCTATAACCGACAGAAAGAAAACTCTCACATACATAAAGCAAACCCTTAAAAGAATCAATGTCTGGTATTAATACTTCTAAAAAAAATCCAAATCTAATCGAAGGAAGTCACAACAAGCATCTGTAATATAAACAGACAGTATCCACATAGTTTATTTCTCACAGTTCTCCTGACAAAGGAACATTACTCAAGAACATACTGTATACACAGATAAGAAGAAACATACAAAATGTTGTAAATGATGCACAACAAAATCCAGCAGTATAAAAGAATGCATGTGAACTCTTGCTCACTGCACAGACTAAATTTAATCACTTGTTTAAATAGTAATAAAAATACAATCTTTTATGGATCTTGTTCAGACTACAAAAGAGGGAAATTATTACCATATATATGATTTTTATATTAGGCAGTTTTCTTTGATGAGTTGTATGGACAACTCCAAATACAGAGGCAGAAGTCTGTGTACTTTAAAGGAATTAATAATGTTGTGAATTAGAGACTTTACACAGTTACTACCACTGGCACTTTTCACCATAGTTTGTACACATCACATGATCAACTTATATAACATTACATTTAAAAAATATATCTGAGTGACATTTTATAACATTCACACACCATGAGCTGGTTAAGAAGCAATGCCACAGCTGCCTCCTGTAGTGCTTTGCTGTTGATAACAAGGACAGTTCATTGTGGTTAAAAGAAATTAGGTGTCAATACGGTTAAGCAGCTCCGATTTACTAAAGGCCATCAACGACCACCACTGGACAGTGAGTTCTTTTAGAGTATAGATCCTAGAAGCAAACACCATCATTGGTTAAAATTTTGTCTAAAGAAGTCATTTCTGTGCTGAAAACTATTTTCACAAAACTGAACACTACTAAAGTGTTTGAATATAAATACTTTGTCTTCTTGTTATCATAGTTATAACCAAGTTCTCTGAAACCTTTGGGATTTACTCTCGCGTGAATGTGTGCTCTCGCTTCCGTCTCGCCCACTCAGATCAGCGCCCCCAGGCTGCAGGCGGCAGGGAGCTTCCCCCGGGAACCCTGGTTCCCTCTGCTCACTGGGATGCTCCGCTGCTGAACAGGGATCGAGAGCCACACGGGGCGGAGTCGGGCTGGACGAGAACACTCGGGAAGCGCTCATGCTGTGAGTGTCATTCAGGGAAAGCAGAGGACCTTTCCAAACTGTGCACATCATCAACAATGATACCATTGCTATGTGTCGAAGAGGACTAGTGCGGGACACGCTCTGCCATGTCATCTGTTCGCTGGGAAGTAGTTTGGGTCAAGGTAATTATAACTGGTGCCCTGGGACACGCAGTAGTCTCTGTCTAAGAAAGTCTCTGACCTATAAATAGGCTCTAGTTGGTGATCTTCCTTGTGAATATCTGTTTCCTGTAGGCTGCAGAGAAAGAAACAAAGCACACAAACTCATCATTACGTGGCACTGACTGCATCCAGTCTGCACATTACAGAACT